GGCTGGGGATTTAGCTCAGCGGCAAAGCACTTGCCTGGCAAGCGCAAGGTCGTGAGTTCGGTTCCCGGTACCGGAGAAAAACCAAAAAAAAAAAAAAGAAGATATATATTATTTGTAAACTATTGACACATTTATCTAAAGAGATTTTGTGAAGAATACCAGTTTGGATTTACTTAATAATGCTTTAGGTTTTGTTATATATCTTTTCTCAATACATTCATTCAATAATTGGCAAAAAACAAACTATCAGTTTAATGATAGTCCTTTACCTCAAGGACTTTACAGATTATTTTAAAAGTATACTTTCATTGATATTTGAAGCCTTTTGATAAAGATATCCAATACTATGTAAAATATTTTTAAAACCCCTTCTTTGATGTTTACAACATGATGTGGGATACACATAAATAGCACAGTGGTCACTATCATGTAGCAGATAACACACCTCTCATCTCACATAGCTATTTTTGTGATGAAACAACTAAAACTGGCTTATTTTAATAATCCTTAATACAATAGTTTCACTAACTCTAGCCTCATTTTTCTATTAGCTTTCTAGACTTACTCATCCTATACCTCTGCTACTTAGTGTCCTCTGATCTCCATCTTTTGCATTTCTTGCACACTCCTGGCAACCACTGTTTTCTTTTCTATCATTATGCAGTTGGACTTTTAAATGGAGTATTTTTGGCATCAAAGTGATTTTCTTTAAATAGTAATGATAGCACTCTTAATATTGCTATGATGATTCCATTATTGCCTACAAGTCTGTCTTATCTTTTGTTCCTCAGCTCCATTTCAACAAGGGATTGAGTAGGCTAGAAATATACATTTGATCTTTTCTTCAATTAGTAAACATCAAGCATCAAACATCAGATAAACAGCTACTCTATATGTGCTGCCAAGTTCAGATCAGGGGGTACCAGTCAAACTTCATGTTTTCACTGGAGTAAGATGTCACTCCAAATATCATGCCAGTTATATTACTGGTACAAGTTTGATGTGCAAATAATTATTCAACCTTTATGATAAAGGCACTGTGTAGGTGTAGAACCCTTTAAGATATGGTGCCTCTGGGGGGAAAAAACTGTTATCTCCCAGTCCCAAGACTATTCCATGATACTCCGTTTTTCCATTTTTTAGGTGAGAATCCCAATGTACAAGCATCTAATCATGCGAGGGAGAGCATTCGTAATTTCTTTCCAAGTCGGAAGTGCTTTGTCTTTGACAGACCAGCAAATGACAAAAATCTCCTCGTCAATATTGAGAATGTCCCTGAAGACCAACTGAATCCTAAATTCCTGGAACAAACAAAGAGTTTCTGTTCTTATGTGTTCACCCGTGAAAAGAGCAAGACTCTCAGAGAGGGAATTGTGGTCACTGGGAATCGTGAGTCTTCTTTTCACATTTCTGTGCAAAAGCATGCATGTTGAATACATTATATAGTGTGTTGCCATTATTTTTGTTCAATGGTATATATAGCTATGATGTGTATATACTCATTCTCTATAAAAATCTACATAACTTTTTATTATCTTACTGGGGTCACAAATTCCTCTTAAAAACTGTACACTTTGTTGCAGGTATGTGTAAGTTCTATGTCTCAGAAAAAAATCCCCATTAATAATAATAAAAAAATTCCACATTAATAATAAAAATGACTAACTTTGTCTGAAAACAGATACATACAATTTTCTTAAGGATGTCCTACATGTAAATTTTTCTTTGCAAGGAGACTACAAAGCATGTATTAAAGTTTAAAGCAGTCCAAATATAAATATTACCTTCTAAGTCCATGAAAAGCCACTAGAAGCCTCAGAATTAGAAGCAAATATAGTGTGAGGTACCTTGCCTTATTTGTACTTATGTAATCTAATTTTCCTCAAATTTTAAAGGGGAATTATATTTTCTAGGTATACTTTAGAATATTAGATGAAGCTAGATACTGATACTAAGGTTTTGTTTAACTGTGACCTGGAGAACCACATAAATTTAAGTGTTAGTAGAAGGGTGACGGTAATGAAAAAAGGAGGTAGATCATGTAATTATGCTGTGCATGTGTGTGTGTCTGTATATGTGTGTGTGCATGTGTGTGTGTGTGTGTAAGAGAGAGAAAGAAAAAAAGAGAGCTTAGAAGTATAGTCTCAGAATCTTAGATTCCTTTTAATTATAACTTTCCTATTTATCCCCTAAAATTCTTGGCTCCTTCAGGGCTTGGGGCTCTGGTGGAGACCTATGTGAAAGCCATCAACAGCGGGGAAGGGCCTTGCTTGGAGAACGCGGTGTCCACTCTGGCCCAGTGTGAGAACACAATGGCCTTGCAGAAGGCAGCCGACCACTACAGTGAGCAGATGGTCCAGAGAATGCAGCTCCCTACAGACACGCTCCAGGTGCTGCTGGATGTGCACGCGGCCTGTGAGAAGGAGGCCATCTCGGTCTTTATGGAACGCTCCTTCAGGGATGAAGATGGGAAATTCCAGAAGCAGCTGGTGGTACTGAGTCTTATTTTGCTTCTGTTTCTGTTATCGCATGTTTGCTGTACACAGTGATAACATTCCCTGTGGTCTTTGTTCCTGTGTTTTATTCAGTACTTTCCTTAAACTTTCCATTGAAGAATGAAGCCCTGAGTGCATTAAATTCGTGACTCATTTCTCACTCAAGGACAAAGCATTTTGGATTCTCACAGGGAATGGAGTCTTTAAGACTACATATTCTTCCTCCAACCTCAAATTTTAGACATATTTATGCAGCAGTTTCTCTGGGTGACTGGATGTCCTCCTCAATTCTTATGGTGGATCCAATAAGTATTTCTTAAGACTGCACACCTATCCAGAATATTCTCAAATCATCCCTGAGCTGTTCACTTCTCAGGGAAAACTTGTCCATTCCTGGCAGCTACATTTCTCTTACCAGAACCTAATTCTACACTGCTGTTCATCCCATATTGCTCTTTGTTGTATACTGTATCCTTCAAGGTACAACCATGGACACAATACCATAGAAGGGAGACAAGGGAAGTGAAACACTGACAGTGAGTGTGAACACTGTATGTCATACATATGAACTGAAAACAATAATAGTGAGAATGAGGAAATGGGATCTATAGCTGGAGAGAGGGAGGTGGGTAGGCAGGGAAAGGGGAGTAAAAAGATCCAAGCTATATTACGTACCTGTACTTACTCTCTAAGAGGAATGTAAACTTCAGGTACTGGAAACATGTGCTAACAAATTAGAACTTAGAAAGAAACCATGGAGATTGTAGAACAATCCCTTCATTTCATAGGTGAGGATCCTGAGGCCCAGGAAGGATTAAAAGTTTCTTATAAACTTGCAGAGAGTTTTAGGGGGTTTGAATACGTCAAGTTTATCAATCCTCATTCATTCCACATCTTTCTTAAACAGAATATTTTCTTATGAGAAAGAGGTTGATGCTGCTACAAGATTCTCTGGAACTTTATTTCCTCTCTGAGATATCCTTCTGGTGACATCTCTGTACATATGTCTTACAGAAAACAATACAGAATAAGAAGGAGGATTTTTTGCTGAAGAATGAGGAAGAATCTGACCGACACTGCCAGAAAGAACTGAATTTGCTTTCAAAAGAGTTAATGGAAAGCATTTCAGCAGGCAGTTTCTGTGTTCCTGGAGGGCACCAGCTGTACATG